CTCACTGTCTCTCTCATCTCTCTCATCTCTCTCATCTCTTTCTCATCTCTCTCATCTCTCTCTCCTCTCTCTCTCTCTCTCTCCTCTCTGTCTCTCGTCTTTCCGTCTCTCTTCTCTCTCTTCTCTCGCAGGAGGATCCGGGCAAAGAGCCACATATAAAGGACTCTTCACCCCTGCCTCCAAAAAGAGCGCCGTGTTTTTTCCTACCTCGCTGCCCTCCACTTTCCCATTCTGGAGCGCTAGCTTTCGCCCCCCCCTTGGCCTCAAGTTATATCAATCATATCATCATCCCGTTTCTGACCCCCTTGTAAGGACAATATATGGAAAGCAGTGAGATTGGGTGTTCTATGTCATCCCAGGAAATGGACCTGTCCATGTGGCAGCGCCTCAATCGGGGCATCGAGACGAATGGCACCAACGTGCCTGACCATGTGCAGCAGCAGGTTTATACCCTGGTGAACAAGGCGTGAACAGGAGCCGAGAATCATCAGATTTCATCCCGGAGATGATGACACAGACTTATACAATACTTTTTGTGACGTCGATGTCGATGCCATCGCTGTGGCCTCAATAAATGCTCCAGGCGTTTATACCAGAGCTAGCGGTCGCGTCTGCAAGAAAAAGCGAAGGACGTGAAGGGCCCGCAGCTTAGAAAGAGTAAATATTGGAGCAGCAGGGTGCGCTTAAAAGCATGGAATCAAAAAGCGTGCACCCCCGGATATTCACCTATTCACAATGCCTAAATGGTGTTGTGGATGATGGTGGATTTTCAGATCTGACTTGTCCAAGGGGTCCAGATGAAGGTGGCGGCCCTGGTGAGGTTGCAGCAGAGAGGCCCGGAGTGGATGGAACGGTGACAAAGGGACAGGCAAAGAACACTGAGCGTACTGAGGAGATGGAAAGGGAGATGCCTTGTACATGGCTCAAGTTGTCCTTCTTGTTCCCTGGACAGTCGTCCAGCCTGAGAGAAGAGAGAGAGAGAGAGAGAGGGAGAGAGAGAGAGAGAGAACACATTGAAGCAAGAGCCAGTGTCCACAGTTTACAAGGCTGAGTCTTTTCAGAAGCAAGAGCAAGAGCCCCTACAGATCCATCTCGACATGCAAATCCTGCTCAAGAAAGGACGTTGATGCAGAGTAGTCATGTTTTAATGTAAGAACCAAATTGTCTTTATGTTCCGAAAACCATGCTTAGAATCCCTCATACATCGACGTGAGCTATTTTTTCTGTTCCTCATCACTCGACTCCTTTCTTTCACACCTCTTTGACTCTTTGGCTCAATGAAAAGAGTTGTTAGATTTTGGACCAAGGATGTTTGAAGCCTTGCCTATATAAGAGCTTTATGTTATAAGCTAGTACAGTCCGATGGATCTCCCAAACCATCTTGCAGAAATCGTCTACCAGCTTCTGTGCCACTTCACGTGGAATCCTTTAGCGCTGCCCAGAGACCCAGAGCAGCAGCAACTGAAAAGCTAGATTCCAATCCCAGGGCCTCCGTTGTGCTTCTTAGATGTGCCGGAATCTAATGTAGAAAAAGAGTGGACGCCTCAACTTCCTTGCCTTCTGTGTGGCAGGCCAACAGCGCCGCTGCTTGCACCCTTTGCCGCTGCGGAAGGTGCATCCGGATTCGTTTCCAGAATTGCTGGAACGATGAAAAGCTTTTGCCGAATGCGTAGCAAAGGTCTGGGGGAGTTATGTCCTACGAAAGTGTCCCACAAATGTGTTTTACAAGAGCGACCTACAAGAGTGTCCCTCCAAGAGGGTCCTTTGAGAAGAGTGTTGGACAAGAGTGTCAAGCAAAAGTGTTGCACAAGCGTGCCACCCCAGAATGTCTTTCAAGAGTGTCTTTTAAAAGGTCCCTTTCGCAAGGGCGTCAATCAATGTTTGCTGTTTGTTTTTATCTCTTGTGTGAATTCGGGTTCGTTGGCGCCAGCTTGTTCAGTTCTTACTCTGACAGATTGTGTCATTTTGCTGGCTTCATTAGCAATGCTTGTTGCGCTTCCATTAGTTTCACTTAGCTATGAACCATGTGCTTGGGAAGACTGTCCCTTCGATTCTCAAGACATGCTCTTGCACAGGTAAAAATCCTGACTACAGTACCAGAACACACACTTACTTATAGAAATGCGTGCTGATGTGAATGTGGTGCCACACGCCGGCCTAAGTGAAAAACCTAAGAAACCAGGGTGAGTAAAGGGAAAGCTCCACAAGTCTCCAAAGCTGAAAGGTGTGAAGTCGCGGTCTCCAAAGCTCAACGACGGTGAGTTCAGCACTAGACGATTACTGCAAAACACCGAAGTGGAACAGCTTGTCCATTAAGTAGGTTTCTCTCCAAGCAGGCACGTCAATCCGGCGTCGCGGATTGACTTCACCAGCACACATCCAGTGTCTTCGTTGGTGCAAGACTGGATAGGCTGCTTGCACCCCCTGCTGAAAGACAAAAGAATCTTCACAATCCTACAGGATCCCTGTGACTCCAAGCGGCACACAGCGGCACACACACACACACACTCTGACACTGGTTTTCAGTTAACTCAATTGCCACGATGGGAAGTATGGCGATGGAACAGTATGGCGAAAAGTCCGAGAAAGTGTAGGTGTTTTAACAAAGGCTGTTTCCCTTGACTGCAAAAAACTCAGCGGTGGTGAACGAGCGGCTGAACTCAGCTGCAAAACCGAGGTTTGGGGGTGGAAACATGAAGAACCATGAATCAAACCGTGGAAAAGTAGGGCGACAGCTTGTCCAAAAGTTGAGCAGGTACACGGAGGTGATCAATCTCCGCATCCCCCATCGTGGAACAGCTTCGTTGGCACAGGTATCCACAATGGGCCTGTGCCCCCTGCTTGTGGAACCCTTCGGTACAGGGTGTGACACACACACGGTGCCGCTTGGCGGCGCTCGTGTGAGAAACCTGAATAGATACCTAAAAAGCCTTAGAAACAAAAGAAAGAAAGACAGAAAGAGCAGCGCTAAGAGGGCAAGAGAGAAAGATAGGTGTAGAAAAATGAAAAAATGAATACTTAGCCCTTGACTGGGGTAGGGAAACGAGCCTCAAGAACCACCTTAAAAGCCTGAGAGAAAGCCCAACAAACGACGAAAAGCACAAGAAGGAAAAGGGGGGGAGGGAGGGGTTGTATGTCCATGTGTGTGTACGTGTGTGTGTGTGTCTGAATACTTAGCACTCTAGGATTACTGAATACTTAGACGAAGTGAATTTGGTGCACTAGTTAGGGAGCGGGACTTTTGTCTTACACCGCCCGGGTAGAGTAGACTAGACAAGGGACAACAGAGGGAAAGGCACCGACGCACAAGTGTGTCGAGTACCATTTCCCTATGTTACCCCAATTAGGTAGGGAGCAGAACACAGTGGGGGGGGGTTGGGAGACCTGCCTCAAGGGGTGGAATGCCGTTTTTGAGCCCGGCGGCTGTCAAGTTCGTTTTTAAGCCCGACGGCTATTGGATCAGTTAATTCAGTTATAGAAGTGAGAAACAGAGAATCAGTAATAAAAAAGGAACCGATGCTTTCCGGAATGATAACAGCGCCTCCTTTCGGAGGATCACACCCAGCACCCAAGTGGGAAGACTGAGCGGCTCACACTCTGACACTGGTTTTCAGTTAACTCAATTGCCACGATGGGAAGTATGGCGATGGAACAGTATGGCGAAAAGTCCGAGAAAGTGTAGGTGTTTTAACAAAGGCTGTTTCCCTTGACTGCAAAAAACTCAGCGGTGGTGAACGAGCGGCTGAACTCAGCTGCAAAACCGAGGTTTGGGGGTGGAAACATGAACCATGAATCAAACCGTGGAAAAGTAGGGCGACAGCTTGTCCAAAAGTTGAGCAGGTACACGGAGGTGATCAATCTCCGCATCCCCCATCGTGGAACAGCTTCGTTGGCACAGGTATCCACGATGGGCCTGTGCCCCCTGCTTGTGGAACCCTTCGGTACAGGGTGTGACACACACACACACACACTGCAAGCCTTCAAAACTGTTTGGAGCACTCTGGCCACATGGAAAATTCCCAACCCCAAAGCTTTTTAAGCACAAGCTAACCAGCGCTGTAGGATTCTATGGTTTTGGCATCCTTAGAGGTTGGCAGTGAGAAGTGCTGAATGTTTTCGAGGCTGCGGGATTGACACTGCCAGGTTGGGCGCAGATTGTCGGTGGTGGCTTTCCGAAACCCAGCGGTATGGAGCCAAGAATCTTTGCCAAAGAAGCACAACTTATCGAGTCAATAGCAGTTAATGAGACAGTTTCCTTGTTGCAGGTGCTGCGGGTGTGCAGACGGTCACGTACTCGCCACTTGGTTATTGTTTTATTGTTATTGTGGTAGAGATTTGCCGGGTAGGCACGAACGAGGTGCACGCTTGCGAGACTATCAACATGTTGGCCTTTTGTTTGCATTGGAACAATCTGAGGCATGTCTCCAGCATCTTCAGTGAAGTGACACACGGAAACTCAGGCAAGAACATCTCTGACTCGACCATCAATATCATTGGCTTCACCATGTAGGGCGTAGGGGGATGTTTCAGCATAATCGCTGTGGGGTCCGGAGTTGCCCACGGTGAATGGGGCACGCACCAATCGGTTCTGTTTGTCAGGTATGAACTTCCAAACAAGTTGGAATCATTCCTCGTGAATCCTACTCGGTTGAAGGCCATTACTCTTAGGTTGGAGGCCATTCCTATTAGCTTGGAATATTCTGAACAACATCTGTGAATCGCTTCAGACCTTTGAACCCTCGTGCGAAGAAGAATATTGCTAGCTAAAGGCATTGTGCGGAGTCCTCTGGCTGCTGGTACAGACCTGAAGAAGTCCGAGGTGCGATGGGAGGACATTATGCTTGTACGGTGTTTACTTTTATGCATGAGCTTCTACTTCGATTGAAGTAACCTTGTCTAGTGATGTATCTCACTTACTGATACTGCACAAGTTCTTCTTGAAGGGCCTCATGTTCAATATGCACCAATTAGAGCGCACCGTGCAAACTATGACAATTCCATAACACCTCCTTGAAGATCCTCCAGCCCTTGGATCAGCTCCTGTGTTTGATATTGTGCAGCTTGGTCTTGTGACTCGTTCCAACTGGGATTGGCTAAAACTAAAAACTCCTCATTGTGACTTGTGACATTGGCAGCTTATCCGTTTGATGTCGCGTGGAGTTGTTCCGTTGGTCGACGAGGCACCCAGTCGCATGGCAAAGCGGGACGACTTCGCTTGGCTGTCTGTGGTCTACACGCTCCTTGGCCCGAAGCTGCATAAGATCTGGGTACCTTGGTATCATACGGACAAGTGCCTTACTAGTAGTAACAAGAAGCTACTAGGAACAAGTGCATCGCTTCTTGTAACAACTGCCTTACTACTAGTAACACGAAGCTAGTAGAAACAAGTGCCACGCTAGTAGTAACAAGTGCCTTACTACTAGTAACAAGAAGCTATTACGGTATGCTACTGGATTGCGGATGTGATGTCTTGGAGACTGGGACCCCCAGGACCCCCTGAGGAAGGGAGGTGTTCATGTTGGGCTGACCTCAGGCTTTTGTTCTTTGCTGCTCATCCGCAGACGGGTGCACCGTGCTTGACCTAGCAAAAACTTTGCTGTAGCTCATTTGGTCTTTGTCACTTTGTGCTTTCTCACCAATATCCACTGTACACTCAGGTACGCTTTCATCGAATTGCGACGGGTTTGCATCGCCCATATGGATGAAGGCACATGGTTTGCCTCCTGCTTTGTGTTGCCGAATTACCTCCTGCTTTGTGTTGAGAATGACAAGTTTTGAAGCAATTGGTCTTAAGTATGTTTTGAGGCAACCAAGAGCTGACATTGGTGGGCGCGTTGGACCCCGAAGAACCTGACACAGCAGGCGACGGCTGACGAGAAAGAACAGCACTGGACAATTGAGCCACTGCAGCCACACTTGGTACTGTCAACCATCAGCCTCACAGAACTGCGAGGAAACACAACAACTATCGAACACTAGTGACTACGTCGAATCATTTTTTAGAGGAGAATCTATCGATCTTTTGTGCACCAAGCCTTTTGGATGTCTATAAGAATCTGTTTGGTTCCAAAGTTGTTCAGGCCAGGATACACACTCTTTAAGCGTGAGCTCGTTTGGCAAATTTGGGTGTTCAGAAGCATTCCTTCCATTCCCATCGCATGGTACACCCGATCAGAAGATTATGTCAGCGATGTGGTCCTCCCCCTCCACGCGCAGACTTCACGGTGCATCGGCGGGATGCCAATGGGTCCCGGTCTGAGATAATGGCGTGTTAGTAAGGACCTGAAGACCGCAAAGACCTTCGAAACACCAGAATGGATTAGAATGTGGTTGTGTACCATCGAGTTTCAAACATGCTCAAAGAAGGGATCTTGTTTGCGAACCTGCAACATGGTTTTGATAGCTTGCATTGATGTGAAAGTCCTTTTTGTCAGATTTCGGATTTGAGCATAGCTGGAAACATGTCAGGGTCTACAAAGGCTTGTTTGGACAAGCTCTCAGGATATCTCCTGTTGGGATTGTGTTGCTGCTTCCGGATGGACGGTGGCAGGACGTTCTTGATGGCAGAACTTGGAGCATCAAACTACTCAATGTTTGATTCTGCCTGCTTGTCCAAGCTGGATCGTTTCCTCGACTCATCGTCTCTCAGGAGCTCAGCATGCCCAAGCTGGATCTTCGTTTCCCTTCAGCTGAGAGCTTGAAGATGCTGGGGACCCTGATGAACCAAGTTTTCAAAGGCTTCGCTGCATTCGGATGACGAGCTTTGCAGTGTCAGGTGGGCCAATCACATTATGGCTGGTGGTCAAGGTGGGATGGCAGAAAGACTCGAAAAGAAGTCAGTTTCGCCACCGGGTCGGACACCGAACGTGTAGTCGTGTCGTGGTGCTCGACAGCGTTCAACTCGCAGAGTCCGAACCAAGTCTCGACAGCAACTCCTCCGCGTGAACTGGAGCTGCGACCGCTTTGAGAGCGGAGATGGGTGAGTCAAGAACCTGGAGCCTCCATCCGTAGCAGTTTGTGCCACAGAACTTTCGACTCTGACTCTCAGCCATGCGAACAAAAGAGCGAGTGACCAGCGTGGCCATTTGTTTGGGAAAGCACATATTCCGCAAGAAGCACCCACGAAACAATACCACAGAAAACATACTCTCTTGTTTGTCCCACTACAGGCAATAAAGATTCAGAAAAAGCACCGTTAGGTTTATTGTGTCTTCAGCCACCCTGAACTTTCAATAATATTTAAGTTTACATCACTCAGTCACCTCATGGTGTTATATGGTGTTGTGACATGGATGCGACTACGCGCGTTCGGTTTCCGACCCGGTGGGAAGTTTTGCTGGTTTCCTAATTCCAATGCCAGGTAAGCAGGGCCGGCCCTCCGGTGCTTATGCCAGAGGAGTGCAGGTGGGCCATAGTAGTCTTTGCTCCTAGTAGCTTCTTGCTCCTAGTAGAGTAAGGCCAGGAGCCCCTAGTAGCGTCCTTTCTCCTAGTAGCGATGCCAGGAGCCCCTAGTAGCGTCCTTGCTCCACTCTGCAAATATGAGCGCGTTTCCAGTCTCGAGCTTCACATTTTTTTCGTCCTTTGACATGCAGAGTTCTGTGGCCGGATGTGCAAGATGGCACGCCTGGATCAGGTGACCTGAGCTTTGCGTCAGAAGCTCAGAACTTGGTAATCGGTCAGAGTGAGTGACACTTTGAGAAAATTGGGTTCATATTCTATTTCACACGTTTCAATTAAGTGCTGCAAGTCATTTGCGTGCGTGCTTTGATTCATATTTCACATGTCTCACAGTGCGCCAGCGATTCAATTCAGATCTCAGCTTCATCCTCCCTGCCGTTGCAGGGTGACAGCTGACAAGTGGCTGCACGAGAACTTTGAACCGTAGACAAGGGAGCGCGGTTGCTTCCATAGAAACAGAATACACATCCCATTCTTGAGTCTTCTAGCTTGGCTTTATGCAGCAGACAAACAAGCTCAGCACATTATTGAAAGCAAGGGTCAGAGAAACAGCCGTGCAAAAAGCGCGGTTTCTGCATGAATCGGAGCTGAGGGTGCAGAGGGTTTTTATCATTCAATTGTGATATGCAATTGTTGGATCTAGCACTTTGCTTCCTTTCTCGCGCCCATTTGGGAATTGGTATCACACGAATTCACTACGGTGGAGATTTAGTCGGCGTACATGGAATCTACATGGCTCAGTCTTGTCTGTGTGGGTGAGACTAAAGAATCTCACACCAATTAGGCGGCAGCCTCAATACAATGTATCGTGCATTGAAGTTTGTTTTGTGCATTGAAGTCTCGTTTGCTTCCCTCGCGACTTGCGAGCCACCTAGATTGCTCTTGTGCACGTCTCACAGTTGGGGCATGTGGATCCCAGCTCAAAAGGATAAGTGCCCGAAAAGGAGGCCAGCATGGAGAGAGGGTTTGAATGGCAGGCACCGCATGAGCCCTCACAAACCAATGTTGCCAGTGTTCGGCTCCCGGTAGCCACTGGCAGCCACTCTTAGCCGAGTTGAAAGTACTATTGCAACAAGAGCTCTCCGCGGCTGTTTGAGTGCAAAAGAAGCCTGCCAAAGTGTGATGCGGCCTATGGCCCTGCTTGGCGGACGGTTCCACAAGCTCCACTGAAAGAACTTTCGAAGGCGGTACCTTCCTGTCTTGTCAAATGCGGTACCTTCCTTTTTCCATCTCCTTTTGTCTTCTTTTCTTTTCTTATTTTCTAGGTTTTTTTGCTTGTGAAATGGTGTGGACCCTTGGTTGTGCTGGACCCTTTGGCCCTTTGCTTGGTTAGGCACGGTACTCATGGCGCCATTGGAGGAGCGGGTGGGGGATGTCCCATGAACACAAGCGCTTGAGCAACTCGTTTCAACATGTTCGGGTTCGCATTGGACAGACTGCCAAACTTGTCTTGCATTCAGTGGTCAACTTTGTAGGATTTGCACTCCAAAGACCTTGCATGGATCAGTGACTTCGTCATGCAGCAAGTGGCCGCCTGCTAAGCAAAACAGCGGAAGAAGAGAGAGGAAGGGAGAATGAGAGAGGAGTTGAAGGTTGCACAAATTGAACGGAGTTGAAGAAACACACCCGGTAATATGTATCAATTAAGAAAGGTTCCCACAGGTTCAGAAATAGCTTGGCCACCGCTTGGTATTCGACTTGGAGATGATGCTACCTTGTCGCGCTAGCAAAATGCAGGGTTGCGCTAGGTTTGCGCTAGGTTTGGCGCTAGGTTCAAGTACTTGGGTAAGATTCACAAACAACGCAATTTCATTGGTAATTAAACTTGTTGAGGTATGAACGGATAACCTGTGGGACAAGGCATTCTTTAGCTGAGTTGATCTTTGTGTCTGTGTCTGGAAACAGCAATTTTGGCTGTAATTGGTTTACGTAAGCAGGAGACACCGACACCCATCCATTGCGAAAAGTGAAGGTTTGGCTGCTGAAGACAGCGCGCTCACACTTTCTGGCGCACACACACACAGGCACACCCGCGCAGGCCCAACGGCATGTTCCCATTGCGTTTCGATTCTTCGTGCGTGGAAGAGCTATTGTATAACTATATATTTCAAAGCTAGGAAAGCCGGCAGACCGCAAAGCGTGCTCTTGACCACAGCCGCTTGGTGGCCTGAGGCACTGGCAGGGGAGCGCGCAAATGCGCACTAGACCACTTTGCACCTTTGACCAATTGACCAACTGCTTTCCAGGGCTGCTACTCAATACGCTGGAGACATACACAAGCGGATTGCCTGCACGACGTTGCGCTGGGGTGATGAGAGTAGATGAAAAGACGAGAAGGCAGCTGGGCTGGGGGGGCTTTGTATGCACGAACAAAGAGACAAATCATAGGAAAATCATCTATCATATCTTGACAACTTGTTTCTGGGATTTTCTGGGTATAAAAGGACTGCTACTTTCAGCTTCACATTTGGAACCGGCTGGCCTGTAAGTAAGGACGCAGCTATAAAAGTCGCGCACGCAACATACAACCATATACATGAGCAGATGTTGTGTACATGAAAACTACCGTTTGGAATTTCTGTGATTTGAAGCTGGGAGACTGAATTTAGACGGGTTTCTTGTTTCAGCTCGTAACCGGCGTAGGTGTATAGAAGTGTATCTATCTATCTATCTATCTCTTTGTTTGTCTGTCTGTCTGTCTATCTATCTATCTACTGGGTGCTCGGGTCAACTTGTCTCGAGTGGCAAGAACTTGTGCCAGAAGAGGTGTGCCCTTGGGAAGAGGTGTGCCCTCGGGGGAAAGCTTGATTGGGCTACCTTTCTGTATGTATGTAGGTATGTATGTACGTACGTACGTAGGTAGGTAGGTAGGCAGGTATTTCTTTTCTCCTAATTTTGAGGGTTCAGTTGCCGTTTTGGCAGTTGGGTAGGCCTTGTGCCTCAGTTGGCATAGGTGGCCGGTCTCAGAAGTACTCAACAGCCATACAGTCATCCTCATCGACCTGGTGGTTTGCAGGGGCTTCGACTTGAGGGTCACTTGCCATGTCTTCCTCCTGCCCTGCTAGGTCGAGGTCTTGCTGTGCTGCATCTTGGTGGGCCAGCGCAGAGTCTGCTTGGTGTCGGCCTGTCTCTGTGGCAGTGCCGGATGAGGTGGACGGCCAAGGTGCTTTCAACTGGTTTTCTACATAGGTATGCTCCTTTGCGGGTACTCCGAGTGTGGAGGCTTGTGACTGGCTGGATTGCTGCTGTTCCCTCTCTCAGGGCTGTGGGGAAGTGCAGGCGTCGTGGTGTGGGTCCCTGGTGCCTGTCAGCCGGTGTGTTACAAGCTGAGGGTTCTGGCTGGGACTTGTCATCTGGCTGTGTGGGTGCACTTGCTTGCTTCTTGAAAAAGTCACTGAGCGGCGGGGAGCCTTTGAGACCAGCCCCTCTGCATTCTTTGCGGAAAGCACTGGTGCCGATGACTCGCTTCTGGCTGTCAAGATGATAGGTATGTAGGTATGTAGGTATGTAGGTATGTATGTACGTATGTACATATGTATGTACGTATGTATGTATGTTTGTATGTTGTTTATCATAGGCTTACCTTAGCAAGGACTTTCGCGTCTGTGTGTTTGCCCTCAAGGTGCGAACTTAAGGTGGTACCAACATGTGGGTCAGAGGCGGTGTGCCATGGGGGTGCGATCATGGCAGCCCGCAACAAACCTTAGAACCCATCAGCATGTAGAAGGTTGAATCGCAATGGAATGGTGTAGGCTCAGAAAAAAATCTAATTAGAAGAACCTGTACTTGTTTCGAAGCGGTGTGCCATTGTGTTTTCCAAATGGGGTAAAAATTTACATTCGTGGGGTAAGCGGTGTGCCATGAGGGTGGGTCAAGTTCCTGGTCAATCAATCAATCTATCTATCTATCTATTTATCTATCTGCACTTGAACCTACAGCAGGAGACGGACGCATTTTGATCGTGCGCAAAAACACAGCATTTGGGCAGCCAAACCATTTGGCAACCCAAAATCCAAGAAAAGGGGAATGCAAAACCAGTGTTCATCGCACTATTTTTCACTCCCGGTGAACTCCTAGGTCATCATGATGCGTCCCATGATGGACCACTTGCAGCAAACAGACAACTCCGTGGACTATGCCCAACGACAGGCACCTTTTTTGATTGAACGACACTTCCGTACTCTACAGTTGAGCTTTCAATTTGCACTTGCCAGGCCAGGTTCTAATTTTTCAATGTGCTACTCTTTACTTTCAACATTTAGTTCAAGCTTGCTTTGCCTGTCCTATTGCTTGTCGGAGAGATTATGAAACACGTAGTATTGGAGTTGGTGCAGCAACGGAGTTCATGTTTTCCTCGTAGGACACCTGCGTTCTTTGCTTATAGGACGATAGAACAAATATTTGGGCCAGGTGCTTCATGGTGCTTTCCATTTGCGTCAGGTGAACCGGATTAGCATGGACCTAGCCGAAGTCAAAGCAGACGTCGACCGGACCAACAAGTCCCTCGGAACGCACAGCTGTGACATGCCACACCGGCTGTGTCATGTTCTCAATGAACGACCACACCGTGTGGTTTGGGTTGCCAAATGGCAACTTTTTGTGCAACACACACTATTTGTGAAGCTTGACATCCCTTCCTGTTCTTTCTCAGAGCTTTGCCAGCCTGCCTTCTTTCGCAATTTGCAGCTTCGAAGGTACCTTGCGATATTGCGGCAGGCCAACACAGAGTGTTATACAGAAGCAAGTTTAATGTCATTTCTGCGATGCAGAATATCAAGCAATTCCAGCTCACTAGATCCTTGACTCATGCAAGAAAGTCATCACTGACCAGGGCTTGGGGGTGCAAAATGAGGGCAAATGCGTGGGAACCCAACACTCTGAGATGTGGAGCCTGAGTCTGACAGTTTCAAAAACCCATCGAAATGCTGCCTTTCGCTGTATGGTCGCCAATGGCTTCATTCAGCAGATTTGCGCTCGTCCTCTTCAGAACGCTTGTGCAGAATTTCCACCCAGTGGGACCAACGGACCGGACACCTGAAGAAAGGGACCACGGCTCAGTTGTGGCTCCGCTGATGTAACTAAGTGCTTCTAAGCTAAGGTACTTTGTACCTGTAAACATCCACATCTCGCATCATCTCGGTACATGGCACCGCTTCTGAGGATTACGTGGCAGGATCCATGAATTGCCCGCCCTGACCCGCTGAGGCGTATTGCAACGAAGTCTGGAGTCAAATACCCGGTGTGGTACTTGGGATACGACAAGCTGCGCCGCAGCACAGAGTTGGAGAAAGAAACAACAGCCTGTAAAAAGAGAAACACAAAAAGAAACCACCGTCAATCACAAGATCCGCCAATCAGTGTGATTAACGATGTCCTTCTTTGTTGATTCCTGTTTGCTTTCAACCTCGGAATCAGGCTAAGGCCTTGATTGCCGGCCTTTGAGCGACACCTGCCTTTTGTAAGGACTGTCAAGAGGCTGGATGAGCAGATGGAGAGTCTTTTGACCGTGGCTCGGTGATCATGAAATGGAGCACTGGGAGGTTTTCCGGGATTTACCACGAAAGATGTTGGTGCAGGGCCCTGTTGATGGCCTGCGATTGGCGGTTTCAAAGATTTCAATGCGGACTCATTGGGGTGGAAGCAACTGGCACTATGCTTCTTTTGCAATGCTCTCTCGGTAAACTCCTTGCATAGGGGGCCCCAGGTCCAAGAAGGGGCCCAGTCAGACACGGCGGCCATGGAATCTATTAATTTTGGAGAAGATTCCACGGACCACCACTCCCAAAAACCAGAAAAAACCTCTCAAGCTGGTTTGCGGCAACCTCTTTGCACCCACTCTGTACAAGTCTGTGACCTTTGCCACCCTTTTGATTTGTTCTACTCTGGAAGTTGCAGGTATCGGGGCTGTGTCCAGCTGAGTTCACTGAGGTTCTGAGAGGAGTGGAGGAGAGTTTCTCCCAGCTCTGCACTGACTTCAGGGGTGCTAACACGCGCCATGAGGAGCTCCTTGAATTGGGCACATGAGGAATCATGTAGATAGTTGCCTGGTCAATGTAGTGCGTGTTGACACAGGCTTTGGACCGTGACCTGTGCAAAGCCCTTCCCCCGCAGAATGACAAGCGGTTAATGGACCAACGTTGGTCTGGAAAGGAGCTCTCGCAGAAGGTCAGCGAGCACACGATCACAATCGATGATTTGCAGGTGCCTGACTCACAAGCAGCAACATGAATACACGATGCGAATACACAATGAGCACAAGCACACACACACATGTATTGTGTTATATTTGCAAATGTATACGCATCAGTTGCGGTGTGTCCGGACAGCGGCAGAGGCCTTCAAACATGAGACTCACAGCTCTTTCTGTGAAATGTTTCCCTTCATGAACGAAGTGTTGGGACGATGCGGGTGCACAAAGCTTTTGTCTTTTGTCGGGCAGCGCCTTGTGAAGACGCTGGCCGCCTGGCCGCTGGTCGTCGCCTTTGGATCAACCGTCGATCGCAATCACGACAGAAACCGAGGCCAAAGTCGACCGCATCGAAGCTCCAAAGGATGAGGGCATGAACGAGCCACGTATCGAGGCGTGGGCAGCTGATCAGCCATGAAGGATGTGAAAGTATTTGATTGGAACAGCTTCCGAGAACCTTTTGGTGAAGCATGAAGAAGCATCATGAGCAGACACAAATACCGTTTCGTGATGTTTCGTTCTTTGTGTTGTCATTTTCCTGCTTTCTGGAGGTCTGGCACCAGCTGAAGGAGCTCCGGAATCAAATCGGCCTGGTGCCAAAGCTGGAGGACTTCCTCACGGTCGACCGGTGATGGACTTCTCGGTCTTGACGTGAGTACCGTGAGTACCTTCCACTGGACCACTCTTGTGCCTGTTTCATGGCTGTTTCACTCGATACATTGATGAATGATACTAAATTATACTAAGTTACTGATTTAGGGATGTGGAGAGATCAAGCCATGCTGTACTGCTCAAGCTTGTGACCCTGTGCAATGCGTTGTGACAGCAGATGGCAAAGGGTAACATTCTAGGCATACATTTGCGCAAGGAAGCAACTAGCACTGGTTCTTGTGAAATGCATCGAAATGCACAGTGAGTCCAAGCAAGGTGAAAATGCATTTGCACTTTTGGCATGATGCTTCATAAGTGGCTGTGTGACAATGAAACAACTCTAAGCGGTTATATCCTCGTCCTGTTTCGCCCTACTCGTATCTCTGGTGTCAAGATTCTTCTGTGGAGAAAATACAAGCAATGTGGATAGGCCGTAGTCCAAACGAAGCGCCAACTGAAACTGATTCAGGTTCAGCGGTTTGGTCTTTCCTCCACAAGCGAGTTCGATGCCGTGGCGCGCAACTTTAGCTCCAGGAGAAGGGCAAACCCCCCACTGCTCAAAGTGTGGGGGTGAGAGCTGAGCCTTGGTGCGGGGACCATGGGCGGACAACGGGCCGACGACGCGTGACAAGGACATGCTGACCGAGGGCGGGTGGGCGCATCCTTTAGAAGAACGGAAGAGCACACATGATCTGGGAGACAGAGTCAGAGACACGAAGTGCAAACAAGTTTGTTGTCGTGATCATGTTAGTATTCTTATGTATTCTTACCGTTTTCACACACTCACGCACGCACTCTAGGCGCACCATAACACAGTTTTGAGAGAGAGAGAGAGTGAGTTGTATTGTCAGATGCAGACGCTGGTGCGTCCCAGACCGGTGCATTCCACCAGACCTTTGGCCTTTGGGAGTTGAACATTTTTTCCACCAAACATCCTGTAGAGGCCTTTGCGATGTAGTTTGGTGCCATTTGTGGGGTACCCGCTGTACCAAACGACCGAAGGCTGGTCCAATCTTGGTCTCACCGGGCTAAAAACGTTTGCTCGAGGCCAAAGAAGAGCTACGCCGCTGTGGAGGTAGCGACGCCAGGCCGAGACATGTGGCTGACACTGTCCTTTCAGCATGCAGTGCCAAGTCTCTTAGCCATTCGGAGCAGACATGTTGTTGGCCTTGACGTGGTTGGTTGTCACTACCTGCGCCAAAGGAAGCTATGCAGCGAGCAGCCTTTCCGATGCCACCAACACTGGTTATCTTTGACCTGCTTACGTCGAGTGCCTGCACAGTCTGTCGAGCACACCATGCGGCATGCGCACAGTCTGTCAGATCTGACATGTTCCATTATAGTATGGCCAGGCGCCCCTAGTAGCTGCCCTTGTTCCTAGTAGCGATGCCAGGAGCCCCTAGTAGCTTCTTGTTCCTAGTAGTAAGGCCAGGAGCCCCTAGTAGCGTCCTTGCTCCTAATCTTTTTTTTCTTCCTTTTGTTCCCTATTTGATTCAGAGAGCGAAGTAGAGGAAGAAGGATAGAGGCAGAGGGGAGAGGGAGAGGGAGAGGATAGGATAGGGAGAGGATAGGATAGGGAGAGAAAGGGAGACAGTGTTTATATGTGAAAAGTTCCACATTGATCTACAGTTACTAACAGCTTAAATTTTTGGCCTAGTGCGCCCAGATCTGCCAGGTAGCAGCCACGCCAAACGCATCAGCCGGGCACGCAGAGCATTTCTTTTGACGACCCGAGTGGCATGCAAAGGTTGCGGTGCTGCAAGCAAGGCTCTGAACATTTCTGCTAGGTGAAGAATCGGGCATCAGCCAGGGTCGGGTGCAATAAGGAAGGCAGAAACACACGGAACAACGCGCCATCACAACAAACGGTGGCGTGTGGATTGAATTGATCACCAGCGGCGGGAAGGAGCAGGTGGTGTGGTTGGTGCGTTTTTATAAACACACAATGCATGACCATATTGACTCATTGACCAAGTTCCAGAATGACCATCAAGAATCTCTGGTGGGCGGCAGAGGGGTGTGGTGATGATCAGCGATCCACTATTTTTCGGGTTTGCTGAGGCCGTGTCGGTAGCAGCTCCAGTCGAGCACAATTACTGCCCCAGGCCTGATGGGTATCCAAAGATTTGCATCCTAAAACTGCCATTGGTTGCAGCTGTCAAAAATTTGAAGGACGATCTACACTGGCACAGTTCAACGTTTTGGACTTTTGGTACATCACCAATCAATCAGTAAGTTAAGTGAGATAAAGGAATATTTTTGGACATCTTGAGCGAACAGTGGTTATTTGACACACTCTTCGTTCGTTATAAGACGAGCAGATATGAGACGAGCTCGCTTGGTCTGTGTGATCGTTCTTTTTTCAGGAGCATTTCACTTTGAGCGTGCCCAGTCGAAATCCTCGAGCCATTGTCCAAGATGCCAAGATGTTGTTTTTCAGAGCCAGGGCCAGGGTTTCATTGTACACGCATTGAACACGCCTTTCAGCACCAGGATCATCATCCTTTAAGCATGTTCGACTACCTGCTTTGTCCAAGCTAGGCCTTTGTCCAAACATTTTTGGGCTGCCAGCTTGAAGCTGTTTAAGCTGTTTAAGCTGTTTTTGCATATTGCCCTCTCAACGGATCACCTGCTGAGCACGTTGAGTGGCGAAGCCCTTGAGCTCGCTGTTTCTGAGAAGCCTTGAGCTCAATGGTTCGAGCTCCAGGTCTGGAGTGAAGACACAACTGATGACCCCTCGGAGGAGGTGGGTCGATGATTGATGCTCAGATTTTCTTGTCCCCTTCTTCCCTTCAGCTTTTCCTCCCCTTACTTTTCCAGTTTTCCATGATAAGAGAGAACATGGAACACCCTGGCGAAACTAGCTTAGCCACATCAACGCATACGGGTTGACTCCTTCACTTGACCAGCAGTGTACCGTGGCTTGATGGATCTTGCCTTTCGGCTGGATAATCCCGACCTCCCATTTTCATCTCCCTCTCAAGTCAATCTAGGAACAAGAAGCTACTAGTAACAAGGACATCGCTACTAGTAGCAAAGGCATCGCTACTAGTAGCAAGGGCATCGCTACTAGTAGCAAGGGCATCGCTACTAGTAGCAAGGGCATAGCTACTAGTAGCAAGGGCATCGCTACTAGTAGCAAGGGCATCGCTAC